CCATCAAAACAATCTAAACGTGCTGAAAAAAGGTGAAATTATTGAATACAGACCTCTCTAGATTGGTACAACATCCTTTTAACAGTAAAGTATTATCCATCCATGCACATCCCTCATTCTCCTCCTATTTCAGCCAGGCAACAATGTTATTTTTAACTGACACTAATTATCAGCCTTAAGGACAAAATGTTTTTTGTTGTGCAAGTGGAAAAAGTAAAAATGAAAGCAATACAGCCTGAATTAGCTTGGCACATTACCTGCCATTTAGAAATTAAAACCATGATACAGGAACATAAAAGTGCTGCCAGTAGCATCTGCAATGTCCCTTCAGAGCAACAGTAATTTAAATTTTTACCTACTGAAAATACTCATTTTTTCTAATGTATCCAGGCCTTGAGTTCAGAGTTTTTCCATATGTTATCAGCTATATGTGGTTAAATATAATCAGAAGCTTTGAACACGTCATTATCAGTTACTTTTCTATACTCTTCCCTACAGATTAGCTATTATCCAAAACTATTTATTTTCCCCTGTCCTTGTTTTTGCATTGTACTAAAAATATTTGTTCAGCAGTTCCACCTAAGAACTAAATCTGGAATTCACAAATCACAATCCAACTTTATCCATATGCAGAACTGAAAGTTAAAATTTGTGTTGAAATGTTCACAGATGTTGTGCACCCTTACACAGGCTAAAGAGGAGGTTTTTTGAAAAACATGTAGCACCAGTAATCACAAAGGTTTCAAGTACCACCATTGAAATGGTGAAATCTAAAGCTCTGCAGATTCACATAAATTATGTAAAATAAACCACATCATTGCTTAAGCACAGGAAAAAAGGGTAAAGACCATTCAGAGAAGTCACAAAATTAAGAATCTGTTATAAATGTCATTAAACATATGGCTGTTTACTTGGAAAACAATGAATGTAATTAATTTTTTTTCAACTGACCAATAAGTCACAGATATTATTAAAAAACTAACTAATTAGAAGACAACTATATAAATTATTTCCATGAAAGATCAAAGCACAGAGTTGTGATTGCCCCATTCTGCAACAGAGACAAAACAGTCAGTGGATCCTCTTAGTCCTCCACAAATTCAGCATCTTTGACAAACTCCTGTTTCTGGCTGTCAGGAAACAGAAATTTGAAATTTTACACCCTATATCTTAGGGATCTACTCCAGCGCATGTGGACAGCCCCAGCTCTGCTGCAGGAAGGACTCTGGTGGAAAGGTTTTCCCTTAAAAAGATAATTTGTAGCCATTGAAAATTTTCAATTTAATCTCATTTGGTCCCTTTCTTGTAGTCAAAAACTTTTCTATGCTTTTCCTTTAAATATGCTTGGTATAGATTAGATCTCATGAGCAAATAAACACATGGAAGAAAACACAAAAGGAACCTTACACAATACTGTGGCTCTGTAACTATTAAACTTGCAGTTCCAATGTAGCTTATTCCCACTTTTCCTGTTTTGATGCCAGCACACAGGTAACAGGTAAAGCATGACTGAAACATGAACTGCTTGGCTTTTCCATAAAAAAGCCAGAACACAGGTGCATATATGAGGAGGGGAAATAGTTGATATTTGAAAAATGAGAGTAGTTTCCAGTTGGACCAGATGGAAGGGCTGAAGAACACAAAGATGAGCTGCCAAAGCAGGAATCCTAGCACTGAAACATTATCACAAATTCAAGCAGTGACTGGAAAGAAGTGTTTGTTCAATTAAAAACTCCATGTGTTTAGGCATTAGTATCCCTAAGAAGTGTTGTTCAGTCAACTCAAGGTCAGAGAATTTGAATTTTACATTTTCACTTCTTACTCCATTTGTCTCAATTAAAATAAACCAAGTGGGTCTGTCAGTGCCTGTTGTTTTACATTTTTAACTCTTAGCATTGCTTCAACTATACCAAATAGACCCTACTTGGAATTGGTGGCTTCCTAAGAATATTCCTCAAGAGGAATCAATTTTTATGGCTGGTAAAGTACATTTTTGCACTGTGATTGATTGGTTAGGACTGAAGTAAAACCTGAAATTACTATAATAATTAGTATTTGCTATACATAATTGAATTTTTCTTTGCAATTAATTCTTAACCTTGAGTAATTCAGATAACTTTTGGTAAATCATTAAAAAGTCAGACTTCAGTTAACAGTCATCCGATTACTTCTATATCATACCCAAACAGAACAGAACCATTACGATTAAGTTTATAAAAGCTTCCTTGTCACGATTGTTTGTTCCCATGTAAAAAAAAAAACCCACCACAAAGTCCTGATATGACCTGTATATATTATACATTTGTTAAATTTAGCACAACTCCTATCTTGGGCTGCCATTCAGAGAGCACAGAGTACTGAACATGCCACTTTTAATTGTTGTTTACCAGAAACCTGTGCAGCATCTCCTCCTTCAAAGCTGCAGCTTGGTTACGGGGCTGGTGTCAATGAATTGGCAAAGCCAGAATTTCGTATCAGAGCCCTTTCTCATCAGCAGTGCCAAATTACTGGCTCTAATTTATTCATTATGCCTAAAGATGCAGAAGAACCCATGAATGATGCTGCTATTTCAGGATTCTGAGGGGGAAATCCTGAAAGGTAGGACTTTCAAATCAAAGACCAAGAGATTGTTTACATAATAAATATAGAGAAGATTGGAATATTCCAGATTATCCCATTAAAAATGTACAGAACACACAAATACCTGGGAATCTCTTGCAGTCAATGCCACTTTTCTCCCACCACTGACTTCAGAAAAGGAAGACAATCTCAAATTACTGGAAAATTCCCTACTAATATGCCTCTGAACTAACTTCACATACATTTAAAGGTATGGATATTTTAATCCAGTTGGGAATTCTTCTCAGACACTTTGACTCTGAAATGATGCTTTTAGAAGAAAATGCAATAGATAGTGAATACTGAGAGATCCACAAAGAGAGAGATACATAAATCTGACACATATTGAAATAATTGAAATGTTGCCAGTTAGGAGAGCAGGTAAGTGAGATTTAGGCAGCTGCAAATAAGCTATGATTTTTAACAGCAGCAGTAAAACTGATCAAAGACTCGTTTTATTCCCATTCTGGCTGCTTTGCAAAATGATGAGCAATGAAAAAGGCAGAATATCCTTCCTTATGCCATTTCCTATTTTGTGAATGGAAAGTCCATGCAACCACAAATAACAAAACAGAAATTTATTCTTTATATTCTGTGACACAGAAGCTATATTTACCATGAAGTGCTTATTTCCCACTGAGCCACAGGCTGGGGTATAAAAAGTTTGACATAATTTCTGAGTAGGAAAAATAAACTATTAGCAAATATTGGCCACCACTCAATTATTTGTCAGAACAGACTTTAAAATACAAATTTATTATTTTGACTGCTATTTTTCATACAGAAGAAATGGTTCTCTCCTGAGTACATCACAGATTAAGCCTTCACAAAGCACTGACAGAATGGTGCAAAATACTTTCAAGACTCGGATTTGCAGCTTCAGCAGGAGAACGGGAAGGACAAAAGGGGTTGGGAGTTTGGGGGAAGGACCCAAAAGACAGGAAAATTTTATAACTATATATCAGGCTAGGATAGAGTGGCTTCTGCTCTCCCCTCACCTAGTCCCCAGCCCTCTGTTTCTCTGAAAAGAAGCTCAGTGTAAATTTTAAAAAATTTCCCCTCAGAGAATTAATAATATTCAGGTATTTTTTTTTTATTTAACGGGTATTAAAGAGTTTGCTCAGGATTTACTAACAAGCAACAACTACTTTTAACTCTGAATTTGTTATTCATGTCTCAGACAAGAAGCAAAGTCTCAAAATAGAGCATTATGACTGTCTGAAAGATGTCTATCAACCTATGGTTCAGTTCACAACACTCAACAACCACACTGAAAAAATCCCATTGTACAAATGCTTTCCCAGCTGTCCAAATATGCATCTCTACCATCAGCTCTGGCACAAACGTGGCCACCCTTAACAGGAACCCTTCCACTCATGGTTTACACACTGCAGAGCAGGAACTACTGGAATTAAATTGTGCTCTTTAGTTATGAAAGCATCTCATGCAGTTGGCCTTGCCTTGGGCATGACATTAAAAAAGCAACTCAAGACAAATGTACTCTTAAAAACTGCCAGGAAAAAAAACAGCACAAGTATTTAGATTCACTTTAGAAGATTAAATGGACAACATCAACCTATGAAAATTATTTCAAATGTGTGGAAGCTCTATTAGATTAGAATTTTCCACAGCAGTAATTTGTAATTCTTGGGGCAAATAGGTAAGAACATGCAAAAACTCATGGCTTTGGGTATTCCCATTTCACTTTCAAGGTCCTGTTGATCAGATCAGATGGTCAATTGAATAAACCAGTGGAGTCGATGTACTGCAGAAAACATTTCTGGTAGACTTTGGCTGCTGGCTATGTTGCTCATGTACAAATGCAGTGTATGACTCACTTGCATAATGGACAGGAATTCATTCAGCATTAAAGCTTCAGAGAAAATCCTTATCCCATTAAGAGAGAAACCTTTTGACCTTATGTACAAAATTATGCTGGCTTCCAGTAATGGCATTGTCAACACTGTATCTTTGCAACGAGTTTGTATTTTGAAAATTAATGCCAGCAAGATCAGACAACAAAGTGAATTTCATTTCTGATTACAGTGCATAGTGCTTTTAATGCTGTCTATTATCCAAGGTTGCTGTGCAGCTTGCCTAACACTATCCAGTCTGAGGAATTCTTGACCAAAATAGGAGAGTCATTTTTGCAAAGGATGGGTACAGACTCTCTCCCCCATTTTTGCCACAAAGCAAATGTTGAATCACAGCAGATAGCCTCAGCAGCCACTGAGATATCATTGTTCACAACCATTACTACAGGAAAAAGCACCTTATTCTTAAGTAATTTTGAAACTATTATGGACAGTGGAAGAGAATATGACACTGTACAACTTCTCTTAAAAATTAAAAAAAAGAAAAAGCTAACAATGTTTTCTTACCATGGCAGGAACCATCCAGTTCTTCATACCCCACGCTGCAGATGCATCGTCCCAGAGGCACCAGCCAATCCCCATCTGCCCCACAATACAGCTTTGGGGTGTCCCGTTCCTCAGCGCTCTTCACGCAGGAGCCCCGTACTTCCACCAGCGAGGAAGAATCCACCCTTGGAATGGTGTCAGGAAACATGGCCAAGTTACGGACCGTGAAAGGGCACTTCTTGTAATACACACGGACTGACACCAAAGCAATGCACGCTCCAATGTCCTGAAAAGCAAGGTAAAATCCCTTCTTGTTGATCGGCCCAACTTCACGAACTTCGGTGTTGAGCTTGAGGATGCGGTCGCCCAAGTCCATCTGGGTAAAGCTCTCATCAGCAGCTATGGTATCAATTTTAGTGTACTGGTTTGGTTTGAATTTTACTCCGTGAGGCTCATCTGACTCCATGTAGTAGAGATTGAACGTTTCCTTGCAGGTCCCCAGCACCCAGGGAATGCTGTTGCAGTCCCTCAGGGTGAACTTCAACTCCACGTAGATTTTCTGCGCGGCGTCGCGGGAGACCCAGTTGGTTTGCAGCCAGTTGTTCTGGTTGGGCTCCATCACATTGCACACCTGGTAAGTGTGAATGGGACGGTTGTGCTCATCCATTTCAGTTATGGCATCCCACTGAAAAGGAAACAAAAGTGTTTGAAAATCAGGGGAAAAATGTATTATGCATATGCATACACACACACACACGTGCCCCATGTGCATGCACCTATGCCTTAATTATGAATAATTACTTCAAGTTCAGTGGAAAGGCAGTAGTTAAAAGATAACTACAGAACACCAAACAAGTTTGATTTCAGAACCTCCACAATAAATTTCTATTAATAAAAACATTGAAAAATGACTGGGGTCTAGCAAAGAAGGAGACACAGGCTGTGTTTGTATTTTATATATATATATAAAAAACTCCATATACTTTATATCAAAGGCTCACAAAATGCTTATTATATAATCTGCTACTCCAAAATATTACCAGCTTCCCAAAAATAGCTTCAATATAATTGAATCAATTTTCAACTGAGCAGTCATAATAGCAATGCAGAACTACAATTGCATCAATGCAGCACTACATTGTACACTACAAAGAGAGACTTTTTTTAATCAAAACACAGAACTATTTATAGTTCGGTATCCAAAAATATTGCCTCCCACCAAGAGTTTTAGCTTGGCTTTTAGATGTACTGATCCATTGGGGTAGAAACAGCAGGAAAAGAAAAAAAGCAAAACAAGAACCAAAACCAACCAACATTAAAGTCACATTTAAAGTAAGATATGCTGTATGCTCCAGAGAGGTCTCAAAAAGAAAACAAAGAACCAAAAATCAACCACACCAAAACAGAATTAAAGAGTAGTCGGTTGTTTTAAAAAACAATGCTGCTTTTAAAATATAGAAGAGTTTTCCAAACTGGCATAGGCCAGTTTAACATAAAAACCTCAACATGCTACTGTATCCTAAAATTGTTAAGGAAGAAAAAAATATCCAAAATATCCTTCTTCTACCAGGGGATTCTCATCAGAAATATTTATATATTCACTCTGAATCAATATCTCAATTTGAACTAACAAATTAAAGCCCTAAAGTTAGTGGTTAACTGTGCAGTTAATGGTATAAATCTATTACTTCTGTAGGAAAGTAAAGGCTCAGCACTTCAGTAAGTGGTTTCAAAGAATAAAACAGAATGGATTGTTCAAACATGGATAGGGCTTTAGTTCACTTAAAGCAGATCTCTCATGCTTTGTGCCTGTGCCGTTCCACTGTGCTCCCAGATAGCCTGCTGGGATCTCCCATTTTAGAGGAATTTATCTTTGGGCAAGAAAAATGTTTGAAATCTGCAAAACTGTTTAACAGAACTAGCAGTCTAAACACCATACATATAAAATATTTATATAAAGGTTAACATTTATAAAAGGTTAACATTGAACATCTCAGCTGGGCCATGCTGGGTAAGGCATGGTTACAAATACAGGATGTGCTCTTAGGTACCAGTCCTAGATACTGGGTGGAAACAAGGTGACTTCCACCACCCCAAAACATCACTTTCAGTGACTGAGAAGTCTGACAGAACTCACACTGTGATAAGTCTCTGACATGGACACAGTCTCCCTGCATGAAATACAATCTGCTTCTAATTTTACCTGAGAGTTGCATTTCTCATGTGATAAAAACAGTCAGGAAAGGCAGCAGCTGAATTCAGTGCAGTCAACAAAAAAGCCAAACAATTTATCAAACACACACTGGTTTTCTTTTGGGTGTATTTCATACTATAGCTCTCATTTAATCAAATTTTAAGTTCAAGTTGTGCAGAACTTCAAAACCAAATGAACTGGTTTTTTGAACAATCCACTGGTGATGTTGGAACAGGAACGTGGTGGCTCCCACAAAAATCCCTGACCTGACACTCACAAAGCTGGCAGGAGTTGTCTGGCTTAGACAGGCTGACAGTTCAGACCTCCTTCAAACTTCACCCATCCCAATGTGCTGCTTTACCTCCAAAACCTGTTGATTACAGTTCTTTCAAATGAGGAAAACCTCTGCTAACATGTTGATGGAAGCAGCAGCAGCATAAAGCTAATTCTTAAACCTGGAGTTCCAGCACTTACAGAGAAGACACATTAAAAGCATTGTTTGGAGGAAAGACTTCAAAATTCTAGTTGAACAATGGAATAAACAACAGCCTGAGGTTACATTTTACATGCAGCACAAAGGAGGACTAAACCACTAAAACAGAAGAACATATAGTTTGAAGACTGGTGGAGAAAAGATTCCAAGATTACTTGTCACATCCAAGTACAAAATATGAGATTAGGCTACAAACCACACTGGGATTTTAGTTAGATAATGTCTCAGCTGATTCCATACCTCTACAAACTACTTTACAACCTTTCATTTTAAAATTTCACTAATATCCAACAGCTGTATAGAGAACACTATTAAGAACAGCTCATTTAACTTTAAGCTTGCATGAGCTATATAATACTGAAATCTATTTTAATTGATTCCAAATTTTTTAAATTCTATTTTAAACCAAAACACTGGAGATTTTAAAAAAATCAGCAAGAGTCTTTTAGTACATATCACTATTGAAAGCTGTTCCAATTAATAGGGGTAGATATATCAAGCAGTTGAAATTATCTACTTCCTAATGAGCTGATACCGAGGTAAACTTCACATGTAGTTAAAGACACCTCTCCCACAAGCTGTCACACTGACTGATGGATTAATATTGGGTTCTTAATCTCAGATAACAGTTATTGAGGCACAGAGCCCAGCAGCAGTTGGGGAACCCAGGATGGCAGTTTTAGAATCCTGCACACCTCAAAATTCTTTATTGATATTTTACCTCATTTTAAGAAAAAAGGATGCATCTAGGATGGACCTAACCAGTACACATTAGTGTACACACTAACCAGTGTACCTGAGCTCACCCCTGAACCAGAGAAGGTTGTGGCAGACTTAACATGAACACATTTGGGTATCACACATGGTGGCACCCCTGGGTAAAATATTCTACACAAACCACCTGTTGAGCAAAACACATGGGGATAAGCACTGGCTTTCCATGCTGAGAACTGAAGGAAGAAGTCGTGCCCCAATAGGAAACCGGGGAACAAAACCTGTTGACTTCAGCCATTCTGCATTTGACTACATGCTAAGAAAACACAACTGTTAAGGTAAATCCTCAGTGGTGGTAAGTCTTATTATTTATCTGGCAACAAAAGGAAGGTTTCCATTCTAAACTGGGGAACAAATAGGTAAGGTTCATGCTAGAGAGATCTGGTTTCCTCTCTGGGCTTCAGCAAGCAAGGTAATTTCAGAAATGGAGTTGTCAACTATTTCTTACACACAAACATAGGCTGACATTTGAAAATTCAGTGAACCTGAACTGTAGAAATGCAATTTGCTGACATGCATATCCTTCAATGCCCACAAACATCCACTTGAGACAGCTCAGTTAAAAAGTCTGTCCTGTCAAAGGGATGGGCTGTGTTTGTTGTACAGCACTGCTACTATCCTGAAAAAATCTGAAGAAAGTTGTGTGTCCACAAAACTCATGTACCCAAAAGCAGTTAAAAAAGCATTTTCTTACTTATCACATCCAATGAGGACAAAAAGAATGCATAGTGTTTTCTCTAAATTAGTCCCTGGTTTTTTTTATCCCACTAAATGGTTTACTACTATTTAGGTCATCCCAGATCTCAGCTGGGAGTCACCCAAGGAAATCTACACAAGTAGAACATTCTCAGCTGTTCACTCCTGACAGTCTTACCGATCCCATTTCCATGGAAACAAGCAGAACAGTACAAATAAGGAGAGTTTGAGAAGTTTTTAAAATTCCCTTATAGTAGTCTCCAGCGAGATGATCTTCATAAAAATGAGATCAGGAAGGTCCAAACGAGGGACACCAGAGGAGGACTTGCACCTGGCAAGTGCAGTTGCCACCTGACAATGCACATTTATTCTTCTTGTGGCTGTAGTGACATTCAGGCAGAACCAGCTACACACTACGTAACAGAACTGAAGGAATAAAGACTTCTCTCAAAGTAAAGTGCTTAGGAAATGAACGTTGTAAGGCACAGTTGGCATTTATGATGACATCAAAAACGGCAAGACTAAAGAATACAAGAGCTAAATTGCTGTAAGTTAAAGGTATCAAGTCAATATTCTCCCCCTTTCCCACTGACTCAATTTTCTTTGCCTTCACTTTTCCCAAGACCTACTATTCTGTATGTGAAACAGGTGCTCAGACCCTCAAAGCTGAGTTATAACACTAAACTCCCAAAATATGCCAATTTGAAAAAAACCAGACAAAATTCCCCGCTATCTGTATATGTCTTAGCAAGTACAGGTTGACATAGCTGGCAAAATAAAACAGCAACTGAACTACTTCTGTTCTTGCATTTGAAGTTGAGGTGGTTTAAAGTTGCTTAAGGGAATGGATAGCAATATGCAGCACAATTTTATTAGTTCTGTAGAACTAAGATGACAATCACAGTACAGATTTAGAAGGAAAAGTGACATCTGTTTTCTATCCAGGCACAGAATATGAGAGTAAGAGGGCAAACACCTCAAAATTTGTGGAAGTAACGTGATTTAAAAAAAATAAAATCAGAATTGAATAAATGAAGAATAATTAGGGCAATATAAACAAGAGAACACAGAAGAGAAAGATAAACAAGAGAACACAGGAGAGAAAGTTATTAATGCACTCGAATAGAAATCCAAAAGTGAGTTGTTTTTCTGTTATTTATATGAAGCACTTAACAACAGAGATGAGGTGCTGCTGGTGATCCAGGTCTGCTTTGAAAACTGTTCTGGTTCATAAAAATATTTTCTGCAGAAATGCTATTAATTAAGTTATTAAATGTTATTAATTAAGCAAAACACAGATTGGGGGGTGAACCCTGGAATTCAAGTGAGACCAACTTCAGATACATGAAACAATTAATTCCCACTTGGGGATTAGCCAGCATAGGACTTTGGGATCAGCAGGCAAAATAAGACAGCCCTACTCCAGCTTTGGAGAGTGAATTGTGACTGCTCCAGAAGGAAAAGGCATCAGAGGTCTTGAACAAATAATTTTTTGCATCTACTAGAAAAGATCAAGATGACAAGAAAT